AGGCACAGCGAGGTTATGGAACGGGCACCCGTGGATACACTTGTACCTCTCCACCTGCAGCCCTAGGTTCTGCAACCTTGCCCCTCACTGCTCTTCCGTACGCGTCACAAGAGGTGGAGTTCTGACACTCAGCCCCTGAAGAGGTCGCAAGGCTAGCCCACAAGACGCTATTTGACCAAGATGAAGGAATAAGAAAAATGGAGCAGAAGGAGAGCAAAAAAATAAAACTAAGAAAAGGGGAGGAGGGAGCAAGGAAGGGGAAGAGGGATACGGGAAGAGAGATGGGGAGAAGATGGGGAGATGTTGGCTTATAATGAGATCACTCGAATGGAAGCCACACCTTTGGCATATATCCATATTAGGGGTAAAAAAAAAAAAAGAAAAAGAAAAATCTGGGAACTACATGGCAAACTCACTTCTTTAATGATTTTAGAAACACTGCCTACTTGTAAGTTTGGCGTTTCCAATAATGCCCCAATTTGGGGAAGACAACATGATTTTACATATAGAGTTAGAGGAGATGGCATGAGAATATTAATGCCCTAGATCAGGGATGGGCAAGCTGCAGTCCTTGGGCGAAATCTGGCCTGCCACCTGTTTCGTAAATTAAGTTTTACTAGAACATGACCGTGCCCGTTGATGTACCTGTTCAGTGTGGCTGCTCTTTTCCTACAACAATAGTTAAATTAGTTGTGAAAGAGATGTTAAGGCCCACCAAGTCTAAATAGTTACTCTGGGTCCTTTACAGAAAATGTTTGAGAACCTCTGCCCTAGATCATTAAGTCACGAAGTCATGTTTCGAAAGGAAAGCATTAAAGCAATTGTACGAATAACTTACCTCAAAGAAAATGAGATTTCACTATTTTTCAGAAGAGTTGGAGACTGTATTAACCAGAAGTCCCTCTTGTTCTCAAGTCTACACTTTGCTTGATGCGCGTAACGAACCCACTTTTTTCATTTCTAATTACCTTGGCCTCTGCAAGAGCGTAAGACCAGAGCTACTGCGTCCTGTTGCTCACCAGCAAATATTCTATAAATGTAGGAGATTATTGAGTAGAAACTTCACCCCTTCTTGATAAACTCTAGAAGTGTTAATATTCTTGGCAAAATTGTTTTTGCACTAATTGCTGTCTCCATCTGCTCTGTGAGATTGATTAGACTGTGAGAGCATTTGCTCTCTCCTGCAATCAATGCTTCCTGGCCCCGCAGAAAGCGAGAGCTGTCTTTATTTCCATCCTGAGGACACGCCACAGACAACTGTAAGCTTTTCCTTTGAGGATTTGGGATTAAATTGGCACTTGGCTTGATGGCCCTTCGGGAAATGATTCTGTCTAGAGAGACTTCTATTGAAGTAAACCCAGACCACAGGGATTTAAATGACTCCTTCGTAGGCAGAGAACCTCCATGGTGTCAGAAAGGCTATTTCTGCAGATGGAGGGGCTGGGTGTCACATCCTTTAGAAATGTCCTCCTGCCCTCTGGAGTACGAAGGAGAAGCAGGACCCTTGGCCCCTCTCTCCAAGGCCTCAGTCCATGCACCCTGCAGAGACCGGGTACTGCTGTCAGTGTGTCTAAGGGAAAGCAGCTGCACAGCCTGATTCTGTCTGGATCGGGCCCAATATTTATTTGAGTTTATTTATTTATTATTTATTTCTTATTTGCTAAAATTAAACCTATCAGAATAGCCTCTGGGTAAAAAAAAAATAAAATAAAAAATGATGAAAACCATGAGAAAGAAAGAAGTAATAAAGTTGTATTTAAAAACAGCAGCAACTTCTGCCCTGGAAGTTCTCCTCACAGACCCTACCAGAACGCCACCTTGGACTGCCATTTCAGATTGGCGTGTGTGGCCTGGTGTCCTGCACAGAACAAGCAGCCTGGTTTTGCAGATCGTGTGTGCAAAGATGCCTATCTCTGTATGCCCACAGGATGAACCTGGAGAGTATTTCATTAACAGAATTTTATACTGGTCTGTCTAAACACTGGACTTGGCAGTGGTCATGTCAAATCAGCAGTGCTAGAAAGATAACCCAGAGCGGGAGCTCTCAGATGTTCGTCTCTTCAGTGCCTATGTGAAGCGCGAGCTCACATGGGACCCAAAGAAAAGTGAGAAAAATAAAACGGACGTCAGAAGCAAAGGTTTGCATGACGTGTCTGGTTTGTGCACTGAGGCCCAGTTACAGAGAGGCGAGCGGCAGGACCTGCTGAGCAGTGCTGAAGCTGGAGCCCTGTGGGAGGCTTGGGTTCTCCTCCCGAACCCAAGCAGACTGTGCGTGGTGGTGCACCTGCAAGCCAGCTCACAGGGAAGCTGCGTGGGAGGGTCGTGGCATGGCGAGACCCTGTAAAGAAACACCTCTCTCTTTCTCTCTCTCTCTCTCCTTCCCTCCCTCCCTCATTGCCTTTCTCTCTCTGATTTCTCAGGATCTTGGGCACGCACACACACACGCCTGGCGTGAGTTTAAGCCACCGGGTCCAGGACTCGAACCGCGGTCAACTACATGGGAGTCCAGTGACATAGCCATTACGCCAGCTGCTGGTCCCACAATTTTTTTTTGAGAGAGATATTTTGGCTATAGGGCATGTGGGCTCCCTGGAGAGGCAGAGAGACAGAAAGCAAGAAATGACCCCCAGGGGGATGGCCTCACTGCAATCCCTTTTCCTCCATTCTTTCAAGATTTTGAGCATGCAGGCACACCTGCCCAGTGTGAGTTTTAAGTTGCCAGGTCCAGGGCTTGAACCACGGTTGAATACATGGGAGTCCAGAACTGTAACCATTATACCATTTACTGTTCCCAAGAATTACAGTTTCTAAGATTTCTAGTTTCTTCCTGTGGTGGTAGGACATACCTTTTATGAAAAAAATGGTGATAAATTATGAAAGGGCTGTTTGTTCTCTACTGTCTTTATGTGGTAAAATGAATAGAAAGCAACTTTATTGATACCACTTTTAAAAATACTTTATTTTGTCTTGTTTTACGTTTTCAAAACCTAACAACCCTTGACTACAACTAGCAGTTCTGAACTTTTTGAGATTTCTTTATATTCCAAAAAATGACAGACTTCTACTGCGAAAATGGCGAAGATGTGTTTTTCCTCATTCCTCCTGTAACACAAGCACCAGTGCCTCTGAAAGTTACAGGAAGAAGGCTGAGAGTAGGGACGAGGAGCTACAGAGGGCTAAGTTCTTGGGTTCTCTTTTTGCTACATACTTCCCAGACTTGGAGGTGAAGAAGCCAGAAGTCCAGAAATACAAATGGATACAGAAAAAAGTTCTCAAAATCCTGCCGTCTATAGCCTAAAGAAAAATAGGTGAGGAGGCAGCTCGGGAAAACAGAAAGCTTTTAGACGTATCTACCCTACTCAGCCAAACTCCGCAGGGAAATTGTGGCCCTAGCCCCACCCAGGCCAGCATGACGAGTTGGAGCCTAGCTTTCCTCCCTTGAGACCAGCAAGCTGTCCCAGCACCCCCAGGGGTGGTGTCAGAAGGGGCCTAGTGGACAGTCAAGACTTTTACCACTTCCTGGTGGTGACCAAGCCACCCCCTGATGGTGTCAGCGGGGCCAGGGGGAAGGCAGCAAGGTATTCTGTCTTGTCTCTCCCAGCCACGAAGACACCACTGTAGCTTGCTGTTCCAGCATGGAACCCACTTCCCCTGCCAAAGCCATGTCGGAAAAAGCCAGCTTGAACAGATTTCAATAAGGTCCAAAGTCTCGAGATATAATACCCTGAATTATATCACCTATTTTTTAAGTCTAAAAATATTTTTTTTTTTGCCAGAGGACAAGTATACACCATAGAGAGAGAGAGCAAGTAAGAAGTTAAGTCTGCCCCTCTCCCCCCAGTGGCGATGACCATCTGCAATCCCTTTTCCTCCAGTCTCCTCTTGGGATTTGGCACGTATGCACACATGCATGGTGTGATTTTCAAGCCGCTGGACTCAAACTGCGGTCGGCCATGTGAGTCCAGTGCCTTAACCACTAGGATACCTGTTGGTCCTACGCTTGTTTACATAAAAAAATAGGGTTGAAAACTTCCCACATTTAACAAAAGACATAAAATCACACGTTTAATGAGCTGACAAACCTGAAACATGATGAACGCAAAGAAATCCACGCATTATGCTTACATATTATGGTAGACACAACAGTCAACCTTCTGCGAACTAAAAACTAAGAAATAATCTCGAAAACAGCAAGAGAGGAATGTCACCTTAAATAGAAGGGAAAAGCAATGTGAAAAACAGCAGATTTTTCATCAGAAACCACAGAGCCCAGAAGGAAGTGACACACCATTTTTCAACTACAGAGAGAAAAGAACTGTCAAAACAGAGGTCAAGAAGAGGATGGGAAGGAAGTGGGTCCAGCTATAAACGGGACCCATGAAGGTGCCCTGTGATGATAAAAGTGTTCTGTCTCTCTATTGCATCAGGGCCAATGTCTTCTTTGTGATACTGCACTATAGTTTTCAAGACGTTCCCCTTGGAGAGGTCTGGGTAAGTGGGACATAGATCTTCTATTATTATTATTATTATTATTAAAAGAATTATTCAATTTTATTCATTGTTATCACTACCCTTTCATTTGCTATAGAGCATGTGCATTCACCAGAGAGAGACAGAGAGAGAAAGAGAGAGCAAAGGGGGGAAGTGAGAGAGCAGCCGCCAGGTCTGGGACTAGAACCACGGTCGGCCATGTGGGAGTCTAGCACCCCAACCACCCCGCCACCTCCTGGTCCCACACTCTGTATTCTTTCTAACAACTCTACCTTAGTCCCGAAGTAACAAGTTTAAAAATTAAAAATTAAAAATAGAAGTACTATCTGATGAACAATCCCATTTGGGGGTGTAGATCCAAACGAATTGAAATCAAGTCTTGAGATATTTGCACACCCACGTTCACAGCAGCGCTATTCATAACAGCTGAGGGGTGGAAGCAACTCAAATGTCCATTGACAGGTGAAGAATGGATTAAAAAATGAATTTTTCAGGTTTAAAAAGGAAGGAACCTCCTGGGATCGCCTCTGAGGAGCGGCTAGTATTCTGTCAGCTTTGGAAATGGAAGGAAAAGCAAACCTGGCAGGTATATCCCTTCCATTCCCAGCTTGGACAGTAGCCGATGATTGGAAGATGCTGTGCAACGGTGTTAAACAAACAAACAAACAAACAAACTTAACAGATTGAAAGGAAGGAAATCCTGTCACATGTTATAGTCCGAATGAACCTGAAGGACCATATGGTCAGTGAGATAATCCAGCCACAAAAGGAAAATTACTATATGATTCTACTTATATGATGTATCCAAAGTAGTCAAATTTATAGAAATAAAAACAGAATGCTGTTTACCCAGGGAAGGGAGGGGGGGTAGTTTAATGGGTAGAGTTTCAGATTTAGAAGATCAAAACGTTCTAAAGATCTGGTTTATAACAATGTATTTGACACTACTGAATTTATACACTTTACAATGTCTAAAATGTTTTGTTTTGTTTTGTTTTGTTTTTTGAGAGATTTTTGCTATAGGCTGCATGCACTTGCCAGAAAGACAGAGAGAGACAGAGCAACAGAAAGCGAGAAATCACCCCCCAGGGCGGATGGCCACGCTGCAATCCCTTCTCCTCCATTTTTCTCTCGGGATCATGGGTATGCACACACACACGCTGCCCAGCGTGAGTTTAAGCCACCTGGTCCGGGACTCAAACCAGTCGGCTACATAGAAGTCCAGTGACATAGCCATTACGCCATCTGCTGGTCCTTAAAATGGTAAATTTTATGTTATCTATTCTTACCACAAATTTCTTAAAAAGAGAACAATTAATTATTGAAGACCTCAAAGTGCTTTTCTTTATGCAGGTTGTATTTAATTATGCTTACCATATTTGACATTAAGATTGAGAAGTTTAATAAATGTACTTATATAGATGTATTTTAAAATAATAATTGTAAGACCATTGCCAGTTAACAGAAATGGCATATTTTGGTGCAAATCATTATATATTTGAAAATAATTTATTAAACTAGTGGTATAGTTTTACGTTTAACAAACCTCTGTAATCTCTGCCTCCTCAGACAGGTAGCCTCTCATATCTGCCCCTGAATTCCTTCCACTGTCAGGTAATACATTTCAGTCTTTGGAAAACTGCATTGTTTATTCATGAGAGAATAAAACTAAATAAGTCAAATAACATCTCATTATTATTATTTTTTAATAATTATTTTATTTAACTTTATTTATATTATTTTATTTTAATTTGACCAATGAGGGACAGAGTGAAAGAGAGAGAGAGTGAGAAAGCAAGTCACCAGGTCTAGGACTCGAACCGCAGTCGGTCATGTGAGAGTCCAGCACCCTTAACCACTAGGCCACCTGCTGGCCCCCATCTCATTATTATTATGGACATAGTTTCAACTTTGAAGATCCCTAAAAAGATCTTAGACCTTGGTTTGGGTCTTGGTCTTGTGATTTGGCTAAAGGAATGTTAGCCGATTTGAGGCCCAGTGTCTTGAATAGATACTTCCCCTTTGGTGAAAGCCCCAGAATAAATAACAGCAGAGTAGGCATGAGTCCAATTCACAGTGAAGAGATGAGCTCAGACAAACATTCAAATTTTAAGCAGAGTTCAGCTTAGCCCACCCTGTATCAGCAAACCCGTCTGTCAAACTGTAGACTCATAACTGTAAGAATAAATAATTATTGTTGGATGCCACTGAGTTTTAGGTTGGTTCATTATACAGCATTACTGTGACAATGATTGACTAAGTAAAGCCTAAGCCTTGTCAGCTGAATAAAAGGAAACATGTGGAGAAGTGGAGTTATTCAGACAGAAGGAAGAGAAAAATAATGGGTGAGGTAATAATTTTATTAAAAGAATTATGGCCATGAATCTTGTCTTGAATGAGGTCAGAACAAAAGAAAATTTGTTAAAAACATACCCATGTCCCAGCAAAATTAAAGGAACATTCTTTAATGAAAGTAGCCACAAAATATTACCAAAGCAGGCGTTAAGAAGGAAGAGGCTTAGGACCAGCAATTGGCTTAATGGCTATGTCTCTGGACTCCCATGTAGTCAACCATATTTCAAGTCCCAGATCTGATGGCTTAAACTCACACTAGGCGCATGTGCATGCATGCCCGAGATTCTGAGAGGAGAATGGAGGAGAAGGGATTGTGGCATGGCCATCCCCCTGGGGGGTGAATTCTCGCTTTCTATCTCTCTGTCTCTCTCTGTCTTTCTGGGGAGCGCACATGCCCTATAGCAAAAACCTCTCAAAAAAAAAAAAAAAACAAAAACAAAACAGAAGGAAGAGACTGTCTTTGCTTGCATAGTGGAACAACTATGGCTAAATCCTGCAGAAGGTTCCTAGGGACTAGGGACCTTTTAAAATGAGGCTCCAAATTTCCCCGAGAGCGTGGTTATAGATGAGAAGGCTGGAGGATTTAGCCACTGACTCCTACCTTCACGGGTGATGCGATGCCTTGGGGTTGATTTGACTTATCATCACATATGTAACTTTTAGTTCTTGCTTTATATTGTTTTAATGTTTGGAAACTAATTCCTATTTTAACATGAATTTTACTTATACCAATGAAAAATTTTCCTTTAGAGAGAAAAACCTCTGCTTCGTTCACTGGGTCAATAGTTTTCTTTTAGTGTTTTTAATCACGGAGATCAAGACTCTTCCAAACAACAACAATTAAACAGCTGAAATTATAATCAAAGAAATACTTTGACATGATTTAAAACAGAAGTTAAGCTAAGAAAATCTTTTTAAATTTTTCAACAAATAGTACTTGAAGGCACAATCTGAAGCTCAACTTTCTGTCTAAAGTTTGCTAAGCAAGGGGGAACCAGTAAGATTGTATCAGCACACCCATGTGGGTGCACAAATCAATTTGGCTGTGGCAGACAGGACAGAGTTTCAGTATGGGTCATCGTGATAAGATCAGTAGTGTTCTTTTCTAGTTCAGTGGACAAAGCCACACAGTGGTTGAATGGTTTGACCAAATGTCCTAAGGAGGTTGGTTCAAGTGCAAGAGACACACGTGTGTGTGTGTGTGTGTGTGTGTGTGTGTCTGTGTGTGACATGGCTTCCTGCTCCCACAGGGTAATGGTTAAATCTTGAGAGAGGCATGGAAAGTATGAAATATTCCTTTACTTACTACACCCTACGGAAAAATGGTCAACATTTGGTAGTCAAAGAATGACCTAAAAACTAGCAGAATGATATTATTTGCTAGAATGACATTTGCCAGATACAGAGAAAAAAAATTTCTGTACAAAAGTTATTTTGAATTATAAACATTATATTGACAAAAAGTTAGTATGAAATATAAAAGCCTAATATCATTACCCTAATAGGATTGATTTTATTTTGCATATTCCCTTACTACTGATCCATAGGAATAAAGATTTGCTTACTTTATTGAAGGCTTAAGTATAATTTTGTTTTATGATTATATTGTTTATCAATAATTTTTCATAAAGCTTAAAACTATTATATTTTTCTGGGACCGGCAGGTGGCATGGTGGTTAAGGCGTTAAGGCACTGGACACTTCCACATGGCTATGGTTCTAGTATTGGACCTGGTGGCTTGATTTCTCACCTTCCCTTTCTCTATCTCTCTATATCTCTATCCGTGTGTGTGTGTATGTGTGTCTTTCTGGCCAAATTAAAATAAAGGAATAAATAAATGAAATTAAATAATTCTTTAAAAAATCAGTTGAGTAGTTATCAGTTATGAGTCATTGAAAAAACTATTATATTTTTCTTTTCTCTCTCTGTTTTTTTGTTTTTGTTTGTTTGTTTAGCTAGAGGGCACATGAGCTTGACAGAGAGAGGGAGGCAGGGAGAAGAGAAATAATCCCCCATGGATGACCAATCCAGTGCCTTTTCTTTCACTTATCTCTTCTTTTGGGATTTTGAGCATGTGCACATGTGTGCACAGCAAGTTCCTCAAGCCACTGTCTAACCTGCAGTCAGCCATGTGGGATCCAGTTGCCTTAACCACCAGGCCATGAAATCAGTCCCTAAAGCTATTATTTTAAAGAAAGTCTTATAGCTATAGGAATCACCTGTAGTTTGAAGGACTTATTATTTTTACAGAAGTCTTACAGTCTTAGTTAGTCTTTATTTATTTATATTTTTTTAGAGAGATTTTTTGCTAGGGCATGTACCTTTATCAGAGAGACAGAAAGTGAAAAATCACCCCCCAGAGGGGATGGCCATGCCACAATCCTTTCTCCTCCATTTTCTTCTCAGGGTTTTGGACACACATGTGCCTGTCATAAGTTTTAAGCCACCAGGTCCAGGACCCAAACTGTGGTCAACTACGTGGGAGTCCAGCGACATAACCATTACTTCATCCACTGGTCCCTCTTATTTTTTTTTTTTTAGAGCTATTTTTGCTATAGGGTGTGTATGCTCACCAGAGAGAGAGAGCAGAGAGAGAGAGAGAGAAAGTGAGAAATTACCCCCCAGAGGAGATGACTATACTGCAACCATGAAAGAATAGTGAGAATCTTCCATTCTCCTGTGAGATGTTGGGCACAAATGCACACATGCCCGGCGTGAGTCTCAAGCCTCTGGGTTCAGGATTTGAACTGCGGGAGGCCATATGGGAGTCTAGCACCTTAGCCACTATACCACCTGCTGGCCTCAGTACATCTAGATATTAATAAGTGTAACCTGAAGGAAAGAATCTACCATCAAATACATTTTGTCATGTGTGATAATGGTCGCATAGTCTTGAAGAATGAGGATTGAGGTGACTTATTTTCCCAACCTGTTTGATTGCAGGACTCTTTTGAAAAGGAGCATCTCATAGGATTTGTGTTTTACATAATCTGTGCTTTATAAAATGCTATTCAGGTCAATTTCTCTATCAGGAAACCGAGGTCCAGAGAGATTAAGACTCAATATTACACAGATAATTGGTGACAAAATATAGACCAGAATTTATATATAAATTTCCAGAAATAGAACTCCTACCACAATGGTCTTTACTAGTTTTGCTGAAATAATCTTACATTGCCACAAAAATTCTCAGCTATTAACAATTCCATGAACATCTTCTGCATCATAATAACCTTCTGTCAAATCCGTGGTACAAAGGGAAGCTCCTTTTGGGCTCAGAGGACAAGGCAGTAT